TTATGAAGGACAGATATGAACATTTCTAGTAAAAAGTTAAACTCTTAATATAAAGCCTTTGTTCATTTAAAAATGGATATCAAAGGTAGAGCCAAGGTGAGTTCCCAACAGTTACAGTGCTGTGTTTACTGATCTGCATTAAACAAAACCATTTGTAAATGTAACAAGTTTTAGGGTTAATAAATCCATGTTAGAACATGCATGGAATACATCTTTCTGGCCATATACTGTTTATTCTCTACTACATTATTTGTCTTAAATTATAAACCAAGTTGCAAACTCTTTTACCATTCCACAGTGAAAAGTACATGGAAACTATTACTTTGTTAGGCCCATGGAAAATTAAAGTTGGAAATATCAAAATTGTTGCTGTTTATGTAACAATAACCTCTTATTTTTTAGATTTGCAAACAAGCCATTAAAGTAAAAATCAAAAAGTTTAGGAGGGTAGTTCTGGAAATCCAGTAGAGAACTGAAAAAAATTACATTGGTGGTGAAATTAGTCATATATTTGGAAAATGAGTGCTGTAATAATTTATTCCACCTTTGGCAGTGTCATGAACATATAGTGGCACACAGTGAAACCAAACATGTCAAGAATGCTGGAATACCTTTTCTTTACTGTGAGACACCCACACAGACTAATAACAGCACACACAACATTAAATAAAGTAGAAAAGAAACCTAATAGAAACAAACTTACACTTTTCTAGTGATATATTCTATAATACACACGTAAAGTCAATGAGTTTTGAGTTCCTTTCTTTTTGCAGTGGAAAGCCACACTATCACAGAAAGCTAAATTTTAATTCAGTGATCATAAACTCGCAACACAGAAAATACTTACGGAGCACAAAGCACAGTCTTCCTTGTGTCCTTCAAGAGAAACACTGAAATTACTGCTAGGGAAGTCTAGGAAACACTATGTTTTAGTAGTGTCCTCTGTGCAGAGCAGGGGCTGGTCGCCAAGGTAAATGATCATTCCAGTATAGAAATATTTATGACCTTAGTGTCTGCAATGTCACAGAACAAGGGAAAGATATGTTGTTGGCACGTCTCACTTCAGTTCTACCACATTTATCTGTTCTTTCCATACTATAATTGAACTTTCCATTTTATAATCGAGATTAAAACAGCTACAGAAGTGAACTCATACGTCTTTTTTTTTTTTTTTTCCAAATTCTGTCCAACACTTAACTGTGGTCAATGGACACGCTTCTATAAACAGCTGTTGAAAGCTAAACTGACTGCCTGATTCCTAAAGCTTTTATGTAACAGCAGTGGAAATATGGAAGTTGGAAAACTGTTACTCCCAAGTTCATTGCAAAGCCAGCAAAGAAACACACATGTATAGGGTAAAAGTTGAAGATGTACCAGTTTAACAGAAGCCAAAAGGAGCTAAATGAGAGTACATTTTGTAAGGGACAGAGTAACTGAAATAATCATAACAGTAATAAATGGTCTGGCCCAGAGAGTTGTCTTCTCTAACTAGCTTTCCTTGTTTTCACTTCTTATTCATTTCCCATTTCATGCACTAATCAGGTTCAAATGATATGTATCTGCTCCATCTTCGCAAGCCTGACCTACTTCAGAGGGATTAGCAGCACTGTGACATGTCTCCCCTGTTTTAGGAACGCTCTGTTCTAAGAATGAAAGCAACTCTGCCTTTTTCCTGAGCAGACTTTGCCTGAAATGCAAACTCCCTCTGCATTGAATGTGGCTAGAAATTACTTATAAATAACTCAAGTCTTTTGCTCTTCTCATCCTTCAGTCTTTCCTTCTGGTCCTTTTGAATTCACAGGAACACTGCCAAGTATTTGGAACCATCGTTTTATCTCTTCCTTCTTAGCCACTTCATGGATGTTTTGCTATCCCCTTCATTCACATGTTCTTTGAGGACACAAATATAATTATTCAGCAACTTGTACCACACAACATGTTCCTTAGCCTTTTGCACATCAGCTCTTTGTCACATAAAGTCTCCTAATTTGGCTAGAGCCCAAACCTCTTGGTTTTGGCTAATCACTTTTTTTTTTGTTTCTCTCCAAAGAATCTATAGAAAAATGATCATGTTTCACTCAGGTTTCCCCAGTTCTTACTGAGCAGCATTAAAAAGCTCTTTCTGCATTACCTTCTCACACAGAAACTTCAGTGTGTCTTCTCAAATAATTTTGACTGCTGTATTTCTTTCTTTTCACTACATATCTCGGGTCTAAATATTGTTAAAACACCACATCCAATGTTCAAACTATCCATTCAGGAAGGGCAATGATTTTATTTTCTTTATAATTTTTTTTTTCTTTTTTACAAACCACAAGAATAGCTAAAGAATTAGAAAAACTGTAATATAATGACATTGAGTTCAGTCTAGAAGACACGTGTTCCATGAGGCTCTTACTTAATACTCAGCTGGCATTAACTGTGTTGGAAAGAAGCTTACAGCTCAGAGAGACAGGGAAGTGCCTACAGCGCTGGGAAGCTGTCCATAAAAATTTTCCTTGGTAATGGCATATATAATGGAATATCACTGAGTCAGAAATGGCAGAGATGACTACTCCTGATGTTGGAAATAACTCAGAAATTCAGAATTATGTGGTAATTTTTTTAAGATATACTCTGTATATACATATACAAGGTAAAATTGCAGTCAGAGAGGCACACAGTTAGTACCACAGCCAGCACTGGGCAAGGACATCCTGCAGTAATGAGGTCTTGAAGAAGGCAATTAATCAAGAGGTTTAAAGAGTGTCTCATGTAAATCACCAATTTGGCAGAGAAGACCTGGGGTCTACACGGGTAACTGGACATAAGGAACACAGAAGGTGACAAATAAGAACCAGAATCAAGAAGATTGACAACTAAACCAGTCTCGGGCAGTTGAAGCTGTAGAAATTGTGATAGTGAGTCCTTTAGGTGAACTCAGCTCATTGTAATGTCATTATAATAGTAAAAATCACACCCCCAGGTAAAAAAGACCCCTGCCCAGGTGAAGACCCTTCCCCTGAGCATGTGTGATAGTAGAAATAGTGATGTAACCATATTATAGCTATATGGAAATCACCAATCACTATAAGGAGGATGGACTTGGAAACGTACTAACTCTATAGTCTTATGTATAAATATGTCATTAAAAATCTTATTTGGTGTGCTTGATTTATGGGCAGGCACCAAGCACCGAACTTTGCACAAACCTCCAATAAATAGCAATGTCTCCTTCCTAAACCTAGTCTCTTTGTCTGTGGTTTGGGGAGCTGTCTTAAAACAGTAACATTGAGAAGTAGCAAATGAGGAGAACTGCTTTCACTGTTTCATTTCTGCTTAGTGTGAATGGTGCTATGGGAAGCCCTGTCTCCCTCCTCACTCAGTATTGGAGAAGCAGTGAAAGCCTATAGCTGCTGCTAAACTCCTCCTGACTAGGAGTGACATTGTGCTTATGCTGAGTCCACTTCCATGCCAATAAATAAAAGGCCAGTCTTACACTCAGGCTTTAACGAATGGTTTGATCAAAACCCAAATGCCTCTGGAGAAATATGGGAGTAATGTAAAGAAGGGTCATAAGAAAAACTGGCAAAATATGACAAAATCCAGAGGTGTTAAATCCTACTGTTTCCCCTACCGGGGGTAGGGAGGGTGGGGAGTGTGTAAATGTTTTAACAACAGGCCTTGTTAACTTTTGGAGTAAATATTAGAAAACCTTTCATCCCAAGTTACTTCCAAACCAAGACAGTCTTCAGAAAATAAGAGCTAATTCCCATATCATACAGGAAGGCAGCTTTGACCTGTCCAGTGATGTCTTCTTACTGATTCTGGTCAATTTATCAGGTTAACTAAGGAAGCTGACTGTTCTAACTACTTTTAATTTAGAGTGCAGTCATTCAGAGGGACCTGGACAAGCCAAAGGAATGGAGCTCACAGGAATCTCATTGAAGTCAAGGAAGATAGGAAGGTAGATAGGCTTTCTGGCTGGGGCAGGCAGTCTCCTGGAGCCCTGGTGGACACTTGATTAAACATGAGTGCAGCCTGACAGGGCTGGTGGTTAGCAGCATCCCAGTGGACTGAGTATTGCTTCTTTGATGAGGATGATTAAGGGAGTGGAACACCTGTCTTATGAGGAAAGGCTGAGAGACTTGGGGTTGTTTAGAGAAAACTTGAGAGGGAATTTTATTAAGGTATATAAATATCTGAAGGGTGGGTGTCAGGAAGGTAGGGCCAGTCTCTTTTTCAGTCACACCCTGTGATAACACGAGGGGCAATGGATGCAAGCCAGAGCACATTAAGTTCCACTTCAAGAGTTACAGAGCACTGTACAGGCTGCACAGAGAGGTGGTGGAGTCTCCTTCTCTGGGGGCCTACAAGACCCGTCTGGATGCGTTTCTGAGTGACCTGCCCTAGATCCTCTGGCGGCCCTGCTCGATGATCTCCAGAGCTCCCTTCCAACCCCAAACATTCTGTGATTCTCGGCGCTTACAACACGGTGCCTTGAATCACGCGTCCCGTTATAGGCGCCCAAATACAAGATTCAGCAACCCGATCAAGTGCGCTGAACCCACCAAGACGCTGCGGCCGGAGCGCGGGCCTCGTGGCCCTGCTTGGGGAAGGAGCTGGCGCTGGAGCCTTCGCGGCGGCCCGGTGACGAGGGGGCTGCTCCCTGGGGGGCAGCGCGACGACACGACACG